TTCATGGCTGGAATCACTAGGTTCTTGTAGGTTTTTTCGGGCTATAGGGCCATGTTCTAGAGGCATTTCTCCTGACGTTTCAGGAAACCCACACACACAGATAGATATCTACATCAAAACTCCAACCATCACCCAAGTCAAAAAAGAAGCCCCATTAAAGCCTTGGCAGACCCTGCAAGAAGAATCTGCGCAGCCCACCTCCTCCAAGGTGAACTGAACCACCTCAACTGGGCTCTCCAGGCCAAGGGAGACCCCACCTCAGGCATCAGAAGAGCTGCAAGACCACCGAGAAGAAGCCACGAGAGTCAAGACCAAGACCCACCCAGAGGGAAAATGTTCTTGCCATACATCAAGGGAACCACTGACCGCAGAGGGAAGCTGAGGAGGAAACACAACATACAAACTATCTCCACTCCAGGCCCACCAAGAAAATCCAACCAATGCTCCGTTCAGCAAAGGACAAGAGGGACCCTCTCACCTTTTCAGGAGTCTACCATTGTATCCCATGCAGCTGTGGACAAGAAGTCTCCAGAGGGACCACCCAACACAGCAGCAGCATTGCCCAGACACACATCAAGGAACATGAAAGGCACTGCAGACTACTCCAACCAGAGAAATCAGCCAGAGCAGAGCACATGACGAACCAAGCTGAACACAGCATACCATTTGAGAAGACAGGAATGCTGGACCACTCTCACAACCACCATGTCAGACGACATAGAGAAGCCACTGACATCCACAAGAAGCATGTGGACAATTTCAACAGAAAGGAAGAGACCGCGAAAATGAACAAAATCTGGCTACCAGTATTAAAAAACTCTAAAATTACAAGAGCAAAACAGCAGAGAGGAAACAACCAGGCACAGATTAACACCTCTCAACAGAACATTTTCCCAGGCTCAGCCAGGCTTTCAAATGCTAATGAAGGTGATCAGTTGAAACATTCACACCTAACTGCAGCAGAGAAGAGCTCCTTGCCCCACCCCAGCCATTCCACAGATATATAAACCCATTGTCCTAATTCCAACAGACTTCACTACCTCTGAGGATGCTTGCCATAGATGCAGGCGAAACGTCAGGAGAAAATGCCTCTAGAACATGGCCCTAGAGCCCGAAAAAACCTACAAGAACCTAATAATAACAACAACAACAACAACAACAATAATAATAGGAGGTGATGATGATGATGATGATGATGATGATGATGATGATGATGATGATGATGATGATAATGATAATAGCAACCCCAGGGGCCATCCAATCCAATGCCCTTCTGCCAGGCAGGGAAGGTACAGTTAAAGCACCCCCAACAGATGGCCGCCTAGTCTTTGTAATAATAATAATAATAATAATAATAATAACAACAACAACCTCGGGGGCCATCCAATCCAATGCCCGTCTGCCAGGCAGGGAAAGTACAGTTAAAGCACCCCCAACAGATGTCCACTTAGTCTTTGTAATAATAATAATAATAATAATAGGGGCAACTCTAGGGGCGATCCAATTCAACTCCCTTCTGCCATGCAGGAAAAGCACCCCCGACAGATGGCCATCCCATGCACCCTCTGCTTAATGATAAATAATGTGGTTGTTGTTGTTCATTCGTTCAGTCGTCTCCGACTCTTCGTGACCTCATGGACCAGCCCACGCCAGAGCTCCCTGTCGGCCGTCACCACCCCCAGGGTCTCCTTCAAGGTCAGTCCAGTCCCTTCAAGGATGCCATCCATCTATCTTGCCCTTATAATGATAAATAATAGTAATAGTAATAATAATAATAATAATAGCAACTTCGGGTTGTGTGGGGGGTACCCCGACCCGCCCCTTGATTCTGCCATGCCTGAAAAGCACCGCCGAAGCCCTCCCAGCAGATGCCCCCCCCCGCCAGTTCATGGCACCCAGGCTTGCGTGGGCGAGGGGCGGAAGCGCGGTGTGTCCCGCCTTGTCTCGCCGGCTGCCCCGCGGGGCTCGTGGGTCTCTTGCTCACCCGAAAAGGGGGGGGGCGGGGGGGGCTCATCGCGGGTCCCCCCCCCCCCCCCTGCTTCCGGTCCGCGGTCCGAAGGGGAGAAATAAAAGGGCGGAGGGGACGCGGCGGCGGCCGCAGAAGAAGAAGGAGGAGGACGGAGCCCGGCGCAAGACAACACAACACAACACAACACAACACAGCAGCGAGCCTGACTTCCTTCCGGGTAAGGACCCCTCCCTGCCTCTCCCCCACCCGCAAAGGAGGACTCGCTCTCGTCGGGAGGCGCTGACACGTGTCCCGCCGCCTCTCTAGAAAAAGGCGAGGAGGGGGGGGTCTCTGAGGGGAGGAACTGGGTCGGGGTTAGGGTCACAATGGACCCCCGGTTGGAGGTCGTCGGGGAGAGAGAGAGAGAGAAAGGGGGGGGGGGAAGCTGTGTGTAGACTTCGGCTGACTGTGGTTTGTTTGCCTAGAAGAGGTGAAGTCGAGCACCCCCTCCCCCAAAAATAAGGGATAGTGACTTATAGTTCTGCCAAGGGCAAGGGCACCAGACTGCACAGTAGGGGTTAAGTCTTGGTCACATTGCCAAGGCACTAACAACAACAAGGACCCCACGAGGCTTTTGGGGAATGGCTGGATCTTGGGACTTCTGCCCTTCATGAGAGTTGTAGTTTCCCAAGGACCAGCTTCGATCCCAGCGTGGCAGAATTCCACCCAATGGCTCAGTGGGAAATCAACAGACTTTCCTTTTGGGCTTTAAGAGCTCTGCTAATGTTTTGGACTCGCAAGGACATCTTTCCCGCTCATGAACTTCCCTCAAAGTGGACTATGGACTCGTATTGCTTGAAAATAATTTCTTTATTAAATTTCTTTGGCAGGGTGGGATGGGGAAGGAGGTATTTGATATGAATTTCTGTGGATTTCTGTATTCCCCCATCATGTATTCTCCTTAGTCTTGCCCTGACACCCAAAAACCTATCACTCCTTCCCCCTCCCCTTGGGCAAATCAATTCAGGAAGTGGCCAGCTGTCGAAAGGGCCATCAGGGGCAACCAAAGAAACTCATATCCCAGAACTCTGGCGAGGACAATAAGACCTGGAATCCCTATGTGGCTCCAGGATTAAGGCCATCGGCCTGGGGATTTCCTTCTGCAGACTTTTGGCCATTTCACAATAGGAGACTTCATTCAGAACGGGACATTTCCCCAGCCTCCCCTTTTGTGCCTTATCTGATTGTGGCAGGAAGGCCAGGATGAAGGTAATCAAGGATCATGGCAACTCCACTCAAGGACAATGACTGGGCATCGCCAGCTCATTGTTTCTGTTTCCATCCCGTCTCTCTCAAGGCGCTGAAGCAGGGAAAGCTCTCTCATTGGAGGGCAGAGGGAGGGAGTTTTGAAACTGTCAAACCTGTATTTTGCTATAAATATGCCTCTGGTCAATGTACTGGTATGCTTGCATGTGAATGATCACTGCAATTGCATCCGATCCAGCTGAATCGCTCACTAAACCTCGGTGCCTCTTCTTCTTCGCCTTGGCAAGAGTCTCATTTCAATTATTAATATTCATAAAATGGCTGGAATTAGGCTTCTCTGATGGCTCGCCAAGGTCATGGACCCTCTTTGGTGCGGTCCTAGGGGCCTCTCTTACTGGGGAGACCCTCCTAAAGTCCGTATTGACTTCACGATGATCCTAAGTATGTTTTCCCTTGTTTTTTGTACGTTTGAATAACAATCGCACTTGTTGTTCATTCGTTCAGTCGTCTCCGACTCTTCGTGACCGCATGGACCAGCCCACGCCAGAGCTCCCTGTCGGCCGTCACCACCCCCAGGGTTTCTTTCAAGGTCAGTCCGGTCACTTCAAGGATGCCATCCATCCATCTTGCCCTTGGTCGGCCCCTCTTCCTTTTGCCTTCCACTTTCCCCAGCGTCATTCCCTTCTCTAGGCTTTGCTGTCTCCTCATGATGTGGCATTCAAAGGACTTCCACTTTCCCTCCAGTGAGCAGTCGGGCTTTATTTCCTGGAGGATGGACTGGTTGGATCTTCTCGCAGTCCAAGGCACTCTCAGCACTTTCCTCCAACACCACAGTTCAAAAGCCTCTCTCTTCCTTCGCTCAGCCTTCGCTCAACAATCGCACTATGTAACCACATTTGAAACATTATCTGTTATTTCCTGTTTAATGGTGCAATGTCTTCCTTTGAAAGGAGTTCTTCTCCCGAAACTGTTTTTGTGGCTGTCACAAACTAGGTTGAATGGGTTGAGACTCTGAGATTGCAAAACTTATTTATTTATCGTGTCATCAGCAACCATTAGAGCAAAACAAACACACAGATTAAAAAGAAAAAAAACACAGATTTTGCAAATTTGGTAGCTGGTTAAATGTCCTTTGACCAGTATCTGGCCACTTGGAGTGCCTCTGGAGTTGCCGCAAGAAGGTCTTCCATTGTGCATGTGGCAGGGCTCAGGGTGCATTGCAGCAGGTGGTCAGTGGTTGGCTCTTCTCCGCACTCGCATGTCGAGGATTCCACTTTGTGGCCCCATTTCTTGAGGTTGGCTCTGCATCTCGTGGTGCCAGAGCGCAGTCTGTTCAGCGCCTTCCAAGTCGCCCAGTCCTCTGTGTGCCCAGGGGGGAGTCTCTCATTAGGTATCACCCATGGATTGAGGTGCTGGGTTTGGGCCTGCCACTTTTGGACTCTCGCTTGCTGGGGTGTTCCAGCGAGTGTCTCTCATGGGGGACATGAGAGAAGCCTCCTCGCAGGATTGCAAGACATCCGGGCATCCCCTGGGCAATGTCTTCGTAGACGGCCGATTCTCTCGATCCAGAAGCAACCAGAGACAACTTGCAGTATGCAAACAAGCATTGCAAAACTATGGCAAAGAGTGCTCTTGGGGAATGATGTCCCTCCTGCAAAGACAATGTGTTTGCAGTTCAATACACTTGGCCCATGTTTTTATGATGGATGGAACCCATTAGGAAAGGACATTGAGAACCCAGGAACATGGGCTGAAACCCTCCCTCTTCTCCTTTGCTCCACAGGATGCGACCTCCGACCCCGCTCCTGGCCTTGGCCTGGGCCTTCCTGCTGGCCTTGACCCCTGCAACCCCCTCGGCCCCCTCCCCCGCCGTCCTGCGCTTGGGCCTCCGGACCACCGACCTGGGCGCCCGGCTCTTCCGCGAGGCCACGTCCGCCCCCTCCTCCCGGCACCGGAACCTGGCCTTCTCTCCTCCGGGCGCGGCCTCAGTGCTGGCCATGCTGCAGGCCGCCTCCGCCGGAGGGACACGAAGCCAGATCGAGGCCGGCACCGGATTCCGGCTGCGAGGTGAGCGGAAGGAGGAAACGGGAAATGGAAGTTGGAAAGGCCCCTGGGAGCCCCAGAAAGGCCAGGAGGGCACCCCAGGGACTTCTCAAGGGGGCGTATGAAGTCCCTCCCCATTCCTCCTGAAGCAGAGAGTTCCACTGCTGACTCACCTTCCGCTCCAGGGACAGTGGAGCTGGACAGTCAGCCATCCAACCTAATCCAGGCCAAGGAGGCCTCATGACCTCTTAGGCCTACAGCATTGCGGTGGTGGGGGGGGGGGCATGTGATGTTGAACCAAGGGGTGGGGCACAGGCATGTCAGGGCTCCTCAAGGGAGAAGGGCTCCCATTGGGCCTTCCTGCTTAACAGAGAGGATGCCCTTTGGGGTTCCCTCCCCCCAACTCTAGGATTCCATGTTTCTAACTTGTATTCTTCTTCTTAAGCAGCGGCTGGGTGGCCATCTGTTGGGAGGGATTGGATTGTGTCCTCCTGCCAGGCAGAAGTGGGTTGGGCTGGATGACCTTTGGGGTTCCTTCCAACTTTAGGATTCTATGGTTGCATTATTGTTCTTAAGCAGAGGCTGGGTGGCCATCTGTTGGGAGGGATCCGATAATGTCAATGGGTTAGACTGGATGCCCCTTGGGGTCTCCTCCAACTCTTGGATTGTATTATTATTCTTAAGTAGAGGCTGAAGGGCCATCTTTTGAGAGAAATTGGATAGTGTCCTCCTGCCAGGCAGAAGGAGGTTGGACTGGATGGACCTTGGGGTCCCCTCCAACTTCAGGATTCCATGGTTGTATTTTTATTCTTAAGCAGGGATGGGGTGGCTATCTGTTGGGAGGGATCCAATAGTGCCAATAGGGGGTTGGACTGGATGGCCTTTGGGGACCCCTCCAACTCTCGGATTCTATTGCTCCAAAAGTCTCTCCAAGAGGCTGCTCCTCAGGCTCCGGCCAGGCTCAGATGCCGGGGCTCCTGTCCCCCTCCCCTCCAACGGGGCCTGACCCTGGGCTTGACCCTGGCTTTCCTGGCTGACCTGCTCCCCTCCCCCCTCCCCCGTGCAGAGCGTGGGGTCCCCAGGGCCCTTCGGCAGCTCCAGAAGGCGCTGACGGATCACCGGCTGGAGGAAGAGGCGGACTTGGCTGCGACCGTGTCCACGGCGGACGCCCTCTTTGTCCAGCGGAACTTGGCCCTGAAGCCTGGGTTCCTGCCGAGGTTCCAGCGGATCTTCCGCCAAGCGGTCAAGCAAGTGGACTTCACGGAGCCGGACCATGCTCGCAGCATCATCAATGACTGGGTGGAGCAGCACACTGAGGGTCAGTGGGGGGGAGGGGATGGAGAGAAGCCCCTGCTCCACAGTGGGGGGGGGGGTCATGTCCAAGAAGCAGGGCTGGGCACCTGGGGGGGGGTGTCCATAAGAAGAGTCCTTCCTCAGCATCACACCCCCTTCATCCTCCTCCTCGGCAGGCATGATCCAGGGCTTCCTGCGCGAAGGGCTGCTTGACCAGCTGACCCGGCTGCTACTGGTGGACGCCATCCACTTCCAGGGCCAGTGGGCGCTGCCCTTCCCGGAGGCCTCCACCCGGCAAGGCCTCTTCCACAAGCCGGACGGCAACACCGTCTCCGTCCCCATGATGCAGCAGACTGCCCGGTTCAGCTACGGTGAGGATACAGGGCTGGGGGCCTCCATTGGGTGCTCTCTTGGCAAGATGTTCCACTTGGGGGTCTCTCAGGATTGAGCTCCCTGAGCATGTGCAGAGTGCCGCTCGTGGCCAGGACGCCTCCAGTGGGCTTGAGGGAACCCAAAGGCTACCTAGTCCAACCTAGTTATCCCTGTTGTTTGCAGTGAGGAGTCCCCCAAAATGACCAGTGGGATTGAATCCTCCTCCTCCTCACTCTCCCGCAGATTATTGCCTGTGGTCTCATGATTTATAGAGGACCCCTGGTCAGTATTCCACACCCTGGACATGACATCTTGACCGGAAGGGCCTTTCCTCTCTGGGCATCCCCTTGTCCCTCTAAACCAGTGGTTCTCAACCTTCCTCATGCCACAACCCCTTAATACGCTTCCTCATGTGGTGGTGACCCCCAACCATAACATTAGTTTCGTGGCTACTTCAAAACTGTACTTTTGCTACTCTCATGAATCTGATATCCGGGATGTATTTTCATACACTGGACCAAATTTGGCACAAGTACGCAATACACCCAAATTTGAATACTGGTGGGATTCGGGGAGGGTATTGATTTTGTCCTGTGGGAGTTGTAGTTGCTGGGATTTATAGTTCACTTACAATCAAAGAGCATTCTGAACTCCACCAATGATGGAATTGAATCAAACTTGGCACACAGAACTCCCATGACCAACAGAAAATACTAGAAGGGTTTGGTGGGCACTGACCTTGAGTTTTGGGAGTTGTAGTTTACCTACATCCAGAGAGCACTGTGGACTCAAACAATGATGGATCTGGACCAAACTTGGCACAAATTCTCAATATGCCCAGATGTAAACACTGGTGGAGTTTGGGTAAAATAGACCTTGACATTTGGGTGTTGTAGTTGCTGTGATTTATAGTTCACCTACAATCAAACAGCATTCTGAACCCTACCAACGATTAAATTGGGCCAAACTTCCCACACAGAACCTCCATGACCAATGGAAAATACTGTGCTTTCTGGTGGTCTTTGGTGACCCCTCTAACATCCCCTCGCGACCCCCCCAGATTGAGAAACACTGCTCTAAACCTTTTATGATCTGGTGTTTCTTGGTAATGCATGCCTGAGGATGTCCTTCTCTTCCTCTATCCATCCATCCATCCATCCATCTGTATATCTCCAACAAGCCCTTGGGACCCCTTCCAGCTCTGCTGTCCAGCAAGCCCCATGTACCTGGGGGAGCGGGACCACCAAGGGGAGGGGTCATAGGGCAACAGGCCTTGCTCCTGACCCACGTTCCCCCTTCTGCCCCCCCCCCTTCCAGGTGAATTCTCCACTCCTGAGCACATGGAGTATGACGTCATTGAGCTTCCCTACCAGGGGGAGGCCCTCAGCATGCTCATTGCAGCCCCCTTCGAGGTGGACGCCCCGCTCTCCGCCCTGACCGCCATCCTGAGTGCCCAGCTGGTGGACCAATGGAAGAGCAACATGACGCAGGTCACTCGCCTCCTGGTCCTGCCCAAGTAGGTGCCCTCTGGTTGGGGGGGGAGGGTCAGGGATTTGGGGGTGTTGAGAGCCCCCCCCCCACCACCACCTTGTGCTCCCCGCTGACCTTGTCCTCGGTGCCCTCTGCTTGGGGAGGGGGGAGGGTCAGGGATTTGGGGGTGTTGAGAGCCCCCCCCCCACCACCACCTTGTGCTCCCCGCTGACCTTGTCCTCGGTGCCCTCTGCTTGGGGAGGGGGGAGGGTCAGGGATTTGGGGGTGTTGAGAGCCCCCCCCCCACCACCACCTTGTGCTCCCCGCTGACCTTGTCCTCGGTGCCCTCTGCTTGGGGAGGGGGGAGGGTCAGGGATTTGGGGGTGTTGAGAGCCCCCCCCCCACCACCACCTTGTGCTCCCCGCTGACCTTGTCCTCGGTGCCCTCTGCTTGGGGAGGGGGGAGGGTCAGGGATTTGGGGGTGTTGAGAGCCCCCCCACCACCACCACCTTGTGCTCCCCGCTGACCTTCTCCTCGCCCCTCCCTCCCTCCCAACAGGTTCTCCTTGGAGAGCGAGCTGGACCTGAGGCGCCCCCTGGAGGCGCTGGGCATGACCGACATGTTTGACGCCCGCAAGGCCAACTTCCGCAGCCTCTCAGGTCAGTGCCCAGCGTTGGGGGGGGGGGGGGCTTCAGTCACACTCCAGGCATGCACAGGCGGCACTCAGTCCCCAGATTTGGCACTCAAAGTCAGAGCCAAGTTGCAGGCAAAGTTCAAGCACAGGCAAAGTTCCTGCCCCTCAAAACCACGGGTTCCTCCTTATTTATTTATTTGTTTGTTTGTTTGTTTACAGTATTTCTATTCCACCCTTCTCACCCCGCAGGCGACTCAAGGCAGATTACAATATACACATATATGGCAAACATTCAATGCCGGACACACAACACATATAGACACAACAGATATAGACTGGCTGCCGATCCAGTTCCGAGCACAATTCAAAGTGCTGGTTTTGACCTACAAAACTCTGTACGGCTCCGACCCAGCGTATCTGTCCAAACGGATCTCCCTCTACGTCCCACCCCGGAGTCTAAGATCTTCTGGGGAGGCCCTGCTCTCAATCCCACTTCTATCACAAGTGAGATTGGTGGGGACGAGGAGCAGGGCCTTCTCGGTGGTGGCTCCTCACCTGTGGAATTCACTCCCCGGGGAAATTAGGTCATCAACATCCCTCCTCTCTTTTAGAAGGAAATTAAAAACATGGATTTGGGACCAGGCTTTTGGGTAACCTGGCAGATAGATAAAGGACAATGACAACTAGAATTGATAGGAACTGACAATGTGGATGGAATTTACGGATTCTGAGCTGACGAACATTGAGCATGAGATTGGTTTTATTGATTGTGACGTATAATTGATTGTTTTAATTGTTTATAATTGTTTTAATTGCTGTATTGTCGAAGGCTTTCATGGCTGGAATCACTAGGTTCTTGTAGGTCTTTTCGGGCTATAGGGCCATGTTCTAGAGGCATTTCTCCTGACATTTCGCCTGCATCTATGGCAAGCATCCTCAGAGGTAGTGAGGTCTGTTGGAAATAGAAAAATGGGTTTATATATCTGTGGAATGACTGGTGTGTGGCAAAGGACTCTTGTCTGCTGGAGCTAGGTGGGAATGTTTCAACTGACCACCTTCATTAGCATTTGAAGGCCTGGCTGAGCCTGGGAAAATGTTCTGTTGAGAGGTGTTAAGATGTGCCTGGTTGTTTCCTCTCTGCTGTTTTGCTGTAGTAATTTTAGAGTTTTTTTAATACTGGTAGCCAGATTTTGTTCATTTTCATGGTCTCCTCCTTTCTGTTGAAATTGTCCACATGGATGTTGAGAACAGATTGCAGAGTCCATGGCCCAGCTGCTGCTGTGCTCAACTCCTGCCTCCTTCCATTCATAGAATGATAGAGTTGGAAGAGACCCCCAAAGGCCACCTAGTCCAACCTCCTGCCATCAAAGCACAATCAAAGCACCCCAACAGATGGGCTTCCGGCCCCTGTTTGCATGTTCACAGCTGTTCCTTCTTTACAGACCAGGAGCCCCTCTTTGTGGCCCAGGCCTTGCAGAAGGTGAAGATCGAGGTGAATGAGAGTGGGACCAAGGCCTCTGCGGCCACAGGTGGGTGCCCCACGGGCCTTGGGGGGTGGGCTGAAGGGACAGGGGGTGGGTTAGGCTGCCTTTGTGGATGGGAGCGTTCTCTGCCCGCATCCCACCCCAAAAGATGCCCAGCCTGCCTTTGTTTCGATATACGAACCCACACGATCTCTTCGTTCATCTGGAGAGGCCCTGCTCACGATCCCACCTGCATCGCAAGCGCGATTGGTGGGAATGAGGGGCAGGGTCTTCTCGGTGGTGGCCCCATAACTCTGGAACTCCCTCCCCAAGGACATCAGGCAGGCCCCAATGTTGGCAGTCTTTAGAAGGAGCTTGAAAACGTAGATGCTCCAGTGTGCCTTCCCAGAATAAAGAATCCTAAGCAATATGTCCTAAGTGCACTTTACGAGAGACTTAGAACTGTCTGCACAGCCACCTATCCCTAAAATATCCATCCTATTTCCCTTGGACATGCCCAGCATTTTAAATTTCAATCCTTACATTTGGCCCTGCCACAGGTTTTTAAAATGTGTCATGTAATTATTGTATTGTTTTGCTTTGTTATGAGTTATTTATTGTTGTTTTGTTGTTACGTTTTTATGATGTATTTGGGCTCGGCGTCTTGTAAGCCGCACCAAGTCCTGTGGGAGATGGTAGCGGGGTATAAATAAAGGATTATTATTATTATTATTATTATTATTATTATTATTCGATGCCTCCAAAGCAGTCTGCATTCCACTAGAATTCCAAAAGACCCCCCAAAAGCCATGAGCCCATTGTGCACAACCGATGCAATCTTAAAAGGCACCAATTGAGCCCCTGTTTGGGACACGCTCTGGTCTCCAGAGCAACACAAACAAGATGCTTACCCGCCTTTCCAAGATCTTGAAATGTTTCCCTTCTCTTTTCCTGTGCAGCTGCCATTGTCTATTCCCGAATGGCTCCCCTGGAAATGGTTCTGGACAGGCCCTTCCTCTTCTTGGTGCGACACAACCCCACAGGTAAGCGGGGAGGGAGGGAGGGAGGGGCCTTGCCTTGCCTTGGGCCCCTTCCTTGCAGAACACGGAAGCCCTTCAAATGCCAAACGAGGGGCGGTCTGGGCGTGCCTTCGCTGCCAGCAAACAAGGTCGAGCAGCCCCCAATTGACTGGCACTAACACTACAAGGTCCCAGCTTTCATCCTAGAGCGGTCACTCTATTGAACACCATGGTTTCACACTGATGTTCAGAAGCATATGAGAAGCCCGGCCTCTCATTGAACGTTGAGGAAACCAAAGTGCTCTTCCAGCAGTCACCAGCCAAACCCTCTGCAAGGCCAGAAATATAGCTTAAGGGTGTAGCCTTAGAAATTGTTGGCCCTTTCCGCTCCCTTGGCAGCCACCTCTCCACAAAAGTCAACTTTGACACTGAAATATAACACCACCTGAGCTCTGCGAGTGCAGCATTCTTTCGAATGAAGAAGAGAGTGTTTGAGGACTGGGACATCCACAGGGAGACCAAGGGGCTTGTTGATAAAGCCATTGTCCTCCCAACCCTGCTCTATGCTTGCAAGACGTGGACTGTCTACAGACGTCACACTCAACTCCCAGAACAATTCCATCAGCATTGCCTCTGAAAAATCCTGCAATTCTCTTGGGGAGACAGCTGGACAAAAGTCAGCATGCTGGAAGAAGAAGCAAAGACCACCAGCATCGAAGCCATGCTCTTCTGCCGTCAACTCCGTTGGACTGAAGGCCACGTTGTCCAAATGCCCAAAGATCACCTTTGTCTCCCAAAGCAGGGACTCTACTCCCAACTCAAGAACAGAAAGCAGAATGTTGGTGGACAGGAAAAGAGAGGGAAAGATGGCCTCAAAGCCAACCTTAAAAACTGGCAGAGACACCAAGAGACAATTGAGCCCTGGCCCTCGAACATCAAACTGGAACTCAGCTGTGGCCAACAGTGCTGAGGCACAAATAGAGGGTGAAAGGGGGAAACAGACCAAGGGGAAGGAGGCACATGAAGCCAACCCATGTCAGGACCACCTTTCATCTGGAAGCCGATGTCCTCACTGCGGAAGAAAAAACACGTGGACCCGGAATATAATAATAATAATAATAATAATAATAATCCTTTATTTGTACCCCGCTACCATCTCCCGAAGGACTTGGTGCGGCTTACAAGAGGCCGAGCCCAAATACAATAGTAAAACAATAACAACAGCAATAACTCAAAAAGACAAAGCAATAATATTAACAACACACAATGACGTAATTAAAAACAATGGCAGGGCCAAATGTAATGAAAAGTTAAAAAGTGCTGGGTGTGACCAGGTGGGGTGTTTGGAGGGGGGTGGGCATATAGGTATCCTAGATCTCTGATAAATAGGAGTCTACGGTCACCTATGGACCCACTGCTAAGACCCTACGCTTGGAAGGCAATCAGACTCAGACACGGGGGGTATCGCCAATAATTATGGTGATGGGGGAGGGGTGTGTTGTTTTTGTGATGTGTGCTGGGGAAAGCATTTAATATTGTTGTGCAATAGTACAGTGACAATAACGTTATTCTATCCTCTGGGTTTTTTTGTTTTTGCACAACTCCTTCTTAGATGAGCAGTTGGGGGACCTCTTGACCGCAACCTGGCGCAGCCTAATGCCACTCCTTTCCTTCTGTGTTGCAGGCACGGTGCTCTTCATGGGGCAAGTGATGGAACCCTGAGGGACCCCAATGGCCTGGCCACCTCGCAGCTGGAGGACCCCTCTCTTCCCTCCTGTCTTCAGAGCGGATCCAGTCCTGGCCTCCCACCTGGCTGCCCAATAGTGAGGCTTGAGTTGACCCTTTGCCTCCAAAGACCCAGGCCCGGTTCTCCTGGAGGCGCTTCCTCCACCTGAGCCTTCCTTGCATCCCACCAGCAACCCAGAATGACTTTTTATGCAGCCAGATGTATCCTCAGAAATACCCCCTCCATGCAAAGCTAGTCTTTTGAATATTTTGCGGGGGATGAGGCACTGCTATTGGGAGGAAGAAACTGCTGGGCGAAGCAGACCGGGCACTGGAGCCAGAGACCACAACAATGTTTACATGGGGCAGGCCAGACATCCATCCTTTTGTGTGTTTCTGCCCATGTGACTTGAGGGCAATGTCATTCTCCCCTTTGGGGAGGGGCTTCCTGTTCTCTTGCTGGAAATGAACAATGGGGTTTGGGGGGGGGGTCCCCCCTTTACCTTGAATAGGAATGTTTCTGCTTCTCTTCCTCCACCAGCAGCAGAGCAGAGGAGAGAGAAACAGGCAGGACTCCGCCTTTGACAATGATTCATCTGTTTGCACTGCGTACCATATTTACCTTGAGGTGTGTGTGAGAGAGTGAGTGTGTGTGTGTGAGAGAGAGGGGGGTACCCATGCCTATATTGGGGAACCCTTGACTGGACCTCCAAGTGTGGTCTGCAAAGAGGGGCTCAGGCATGGAATCGGGGGGGGGGGGGKGGKGGGCTAAGCCAGGCATGGTCAAACTTCAGCCCTTCCTCCAGGCGTTTTGGACTTCAACTCCCACAATTCCTCAGCCAGTAGACTGTTAGGAATTGTGGGAGTTGGAGTCTATAACACCTGGRGGGGCAGCCAAAGTTTGACCATGCTACGTTAAGGCAACCCCCCCCCCCAGTTTCTGCTTCCAGCCCCAACAGCCTTTGCTACCTTGCAAATCAATATTTATAAAAGAGAGCTCTAATTATATACAGAGATGTGGTTATTTTTTCACTCTTGTGCCAAAGCTGTACAGAAATATGGTTTTATATTTGTACACATGGATGAATAAATAAATATATATATGTATGTATTTCTATATCGGGCTGCTGTGTTGCATTTGGCCTCTGGCAGGGAATAAAACACTATTGTCCTATTTTACATGCTACATAACAGACATGCACCTTTGGTCAAAGTGCCTGGGGTTCCTCTCTGAATATCAGGCTCTTCCCAAGGGCCTGGGATTATTATTATTATTACTATTATTATTACTATTATTATTATTATTATTATTATACAGACACAAAAACATAGTATCTCACAGCATTGGGAGGGGGGCCTCATTGGGCAGGGCTGTCATGAAAATATAATGTATGGTTTGAATGTAATTATATGAAAGGAGTCTGGAGATGATGCCATCCTACGACTGAGGCCTGGAAGACTACGGAATTCATGAACTGTAATTAAAAGCTGCTGAACTGCTGACACTGAGGACACATGTTGTTGTTCATTCGTTCAGTCGTCTCCGACTCTTCGTGACCTCATGGACCAGCCCACGCCAGAGCTCCCTGTCGGCCGTTACCACCCCCAGCTCCCTCAAGGTCAGTCCAGTCACTTCAAGGATGCCATCCATCCATCTTGCCCTTGGTCGGCCCCTCTTCCTTTTGCCTTCCACTTTCCCCAGCATAATTGTCTTCTCTAGGCTTTCCTGTCTCCTCATGATGTGGCCAAAGTACTTCAACTTTGTCTCTAGTATCTTTCCCTCCAGTGAGCAGTCGGGCTTTATTTCCTGGAGGATGGACTGGTTGGATCTTCTCGCAGTCCAAGGCACTCTCAGCACTTTCCTCCAACAGAATCCCAGAATCAAAGAGTTGGAGGAGACCTCCTGGGCCATCCTCCAGTCCAACCCCATTCTGCCAAGAAGCAGGAATATTGCACTCAAAGCACCCCTGACAGATGGCCATCCAGCCTCTGCTTAAAAGCTTCCAAAGAACCACACTCCAGGGCAGAGAGTTCCACTGCTGAACGGCTCTCACAGTCAGGAAGTTCTTCCTCATGTTCAAATGGAATCTCCTCTCTTGCAGTTTGAAGCCATTACTCCCTTGCGTCCTAGTCTCCAAGGAAGCAGAAAGGAAGCTTGCTCCCTCCTCCTCCTCCCTGTGGCTTCCTCTCACATATTTTCTATACATGGCTATCATGTCTCCTCTCAGCCTTCTCTTCTGTACGCAAAGATACAGAATGGGGGACGATGAGGCCTGGCTCGAGAGCAGTACGTGTGAAAAAGATCTTGGAATCCTCGTGGACAACAAGTTAAACATGAGCCAGGAATGTGATGTGGCGGCAAAAAAAGCCAATGGGATTTTGGCCTCAGGCATCAAGAGGAGCCTAGTGTCTAGATCCAGGGAAGTCCTGCTCCCCATGCTCTATTCCGCCTTGGTTAGACCACTCACTTTACCTGGAATCACATTGTGTCCAATTCTGGGCACCACAATTCAAGAGAGATATTGAGAAGCTGGAATGTGTCCAGAGGAGGGTGACTCAAATGATCAAGGGTCTGGAGAACAAGCCCTATGAGGAGCGGCTTAAGGAGCTGGGCATGTTTAGCCTGAAGAAGAGAAGGCTGAGAGGAGACATGATGAGAGCCATGTATAAATATGTGAGAGGAAGCCACAGGGAGGAGGAGGAGGGAGCAAGCTTCCTTTCTGCTTCCTTGGAGACTAGGACGCGGAACAATGGCTTCAAACTACAAGAGAGGAGATTCCATCTGAACATGAGGAAGAACTTCCTGACTGTGAGAGCCATTCAGCAGTGGAACTCTCTGCCCCAGGGTGTGGTGGAGGCTCCTTCTTTGGAAGCTTTTAAACAGAGGCTGGATGGCCTCTGTGGGTGATTTGAATGCAATTTCCTGCTTCTTGGCAGGGACTGGATGGCCCATGAGGTCTCTTCCAACTCTTTGATTCTATGATTCTCTTCTTCAGGCTAAACATGCCCAGCTCCTTAAGCCGCTCCTCATAGGGCTTGTTCTCCAGACCCTTGATCATTTGAGTCGCCCTCTTTCTCTGGACACATTCCAGCTTAGAGTCAATCTCTCTCTTGAATTGTTTTGAGCTCTTGGTGGGAAACAACATGTTTACACCGTGAAAGGCAATGGCTCTTTTAAGTAAAGAAGTGTTGACAAGGTTCCTTACGTTAAGAAGCAAACAGTGCACCTTAAGAAGGAAAACTAATGGTCACTTCAGGAAGCCAAGCCAGCATCTCTCCAGAAGTGATTTTTTTTCATGTCAGGAGCGACTTGAGAAACTGCAAGCAGCTTCTGGTGTGAGAGGATCGGCTATCTGCCAGGACGCTGCCCAAGGAACATTGCCTGGATGGTCTGATGTGTTCCATCCTGGTGGGTCCCTTCCACTCCCGGATTCTCGGGCTGAGAGGGGTGCCTGCGGAGCAGAGGAGGACCCCTTGGGTGGAGCCTGGGGCCTGGCGCCCTTCTTTGTGACCAAGTTGCCCCTCGTGCCCTGGCACGGCCACAGGAGGGCGACCCCGAGGAGGGGGGTCCAGGCCTCCCCCTCCCCCCAGCATCCTTCCGGGTGACGTCACGGGGAGGGTACCCCCGCCGTCGCCCCGGCAACCCCTCCCTCCCTTCGCCAGGGAGACCCGTCCTCCAGCCAACCGCCGCCCTCCGCCGTCACCCATGGCAACGGCGACCCCGCCTTCCTCGTCGCCAGGGCGACCCGGCGCCCGCCTCCTCGTCCTCGTCCTCCTCCCGGAAGCGGGCTCCAGGCGCATGCGCGGGCATGGGAGGCGGGGCCCGGCCGGGAGGCACCTGGGCAGGTTCTCCGAGAGAGGGAGGAAGAGGAAGGAAGAAGGAAGGAAGGAAGAAGGAAGGGAGGAAGGGACGAGGCAGAGAGAGAGAGAGAGAGACAGAGAGAGAGAGAGGTGCCGCGAGGGTCGGAGGGGGCCCTTCCGCCGCCATGGTGAGCCCCCCACGTGGCCCCAGGGAGGGGGAGAGGGAGGGGGGAGGGGGGAGGGGGGGCCTTCCCTGCTGACCCCGCCGCGGGGAAAGGGGGCGCCGGGGGTCTGGTTGGGGAGCGGGGGGGGACTGGTGACCCCCGCTGACCCCGGCTGTCCCCCCCTCACCCCCACCCCCCCCCGTCCCGGTGCAGATGCGGTTCATGCTGCTGTTCAGCCGGCAGGGGAAGCTGCGCCTCCAGAAGTGGTACCTGCCCACCTCGGACCGGGACAAGAAGAAGGTGGTGCGCGAGCTCATGGCCCTCGTCCTCGCCCGCAAGCCCAAGATGTGCAGCTTCCTCGAGTGGAGGGACCTCAAGGTCGTCTACAAGCGGTGAGCAGGGCGGGGGGGGGGCGGGGGGGCTCCCCCAACCCCCCCCCCCCCCCCCCCCCCCCCCCCCCCCCCCCCCAAGGCCCCTGCCCCAAAGGAAGGCCTCCTCCACCAGAGCTGGAGCAGGAACACTAGATGACCCCTCCACCCCTTCCTGGGACAGGACCCCCCCCCCCCCATGAAAGTGGTCAACAAGCGATGAGCAGGTGGAGGATGGGGGCTCTCCTCCCCCCCAAGCCCCCCCCCAAGGCCCCTGCCCCAAAGGAAGGCCTCCTCCACCAGAGCTGGAGCAGGAACACTAGATGACCCCTCCACCCCTTCCTGGGACAGGAACCCCCCCCCCCATGAAAACGGTCAACAAGCAATGAGCAGGTGGAGGATGGGGGCTCTCCTCCCCCCCAAGCCCCCCCCCCCAAGGCCCCTGCCCCAAAGGAAGGCCTCCTCCACCAGAGCTGGAGCAGGAACACTAGATGACCCCTCCACCCCTTCCTGGGACAGGACCCCCCCCCCCCCATGAAAGTGGTCAACAAGCGATGAGCAGGTGGAGGATGGGGGCTCTCCTCCCCCCCAAGCCCCCCCCCCAAGGCCCCTGCCCCAAAGGAAGGCCTCCTCCACCAGAGCTGGAGCAGGAACACTAGATGACCCCTCCACCCCTTCCTGGGACAGGACCCCCCCCCCATGAAAACGGTCAACAAGCAATGAGCAGGTGGAGGATGGGGGCTCTCCTCCCCCCCACCCCCCCCCCCCAAGGCCCCTGCCCCAAAGGAAGGCCTCCTCCACCAGAGCTGGAGCAGGAACACTAGATGACCCCTCCACCCCTTCCTGGGACAGGAACCCCCCCCCCCATGAAAGTGGTCAACAAGCAATGAGCAGGTGGAGGATGGGGGCTCTCCTCCCCCCCAAGCCCCCCCCCCAAGGCCCCTGCCCCAAAGGAAGGCCTCCTCCACCAGAGCTGGAGCAGGAACACTAGATGACCCCTCCACCCCTTCCTGGGACAGGAACCCCCCCCCCATGAAAGTGGTCAACAAGCAATGAGCAGGTGGAGGATGGGGGCTCTCCTCCCCCCCAAGCCCCCCCCCCCCCAAGGCCCCTGCCCCAAAGGAAGGCCTCCTCCACCAGAGCTGGAGCAGGAACACTAGATGACCCCTCCACCCCTTCCTGGGACAGGAACCCCCCCCCCCCATGAAAGTGGTCAACAAGCAATGAGCAGGTGGAGGATGGGGGCTCTCCTCCCCCCCCCCAAGCCCCCCCCCCCAAGGCCCCTGCCCCAAAGGAAGGCCTCCTCCACCAGAGCTGGAGCAGGAACACTAGATGTCCCTTCCTGGGACAGGACCCCCCCCCCGAAAGTGGTCAACAAGCAATGAGCAGGTGGAGGATGGGGGCACCCCCCCCCCCCCCCCCAAGGCCCCTGCCCCAAAGGAAGGCCTCCTCCACCAGAGCTGGAGCAGGAACACTAGATGACCCCTCCACCCCTTCCTGGGACAGGAACCCCCCCCCCCATGAAAACGGTCAACAAGCAATGAGCAGGTGGAGGATGGGGGCTCTCCTCCCCCCCAAGCCCCCCCCCAAGGCCCCTGCCCCAAAGGAAGGCCTCCTCCACCAGAGCTGGAGCAGGAACACTAGATGACCCCTCCACCCCTTCCTGGGACAGGAACCCCCCCCCCCATGAAAACGGTCAACAAGCAATGAGCAGGTGGAGGATGGGGGCTCTCCTCCCCCCCAAGCCCCCCCCCCAAGGCCCCTGCCCCAAAGGAAGGCCTCCTCCACCAGAGCTGGAGCAGGAACACTAGATGTCCCTTCCTGGGACAGGCCCCCCCCCCCATGAAAGTGGTCAACAAGCGATGAGCAGGTGGAGGATGGGGGCTCTCCTTCCCCCCCAAGCCCCCCCCCCCAAGGCCCCTGCCCCAAAGGAAGGCCTCCTCCACCAGAGCTGGAGCAGGAACACTAGATGACCCCTCCACCCCTTCCTGGGACAGGAACCCCCCCCCCCCATGAAAACGGTCAACAAGCAATGAGCAGGTGGAGGATGGGGGCTCTCCTCCCCCCCAAGCCCCCCCCCCCAAGGCCCCTGCCCCAAAGGAAGGCCTCCTCCACCAGAGCTGGAGCAGGAACACTAGATGACCCCTCCACCCCTTCCTGGGACAGGAACCCCCCCCCCCATGAAAACGGTCAACAAGCAATGAGCAGGTGGAGGATGGGGGCTCTCCTCCCCCCCAAGCCCCCCCCCAAGGCCCCTGCCCCAAAGGAAGGCCTCCTCCACCAGAGCTGGAGCAGGAACACTAGATGTCCCTTCCTGGGACAGGACCCCCCCCCCCATGAAAGTGGTCAACAAGCAATGAGCAGGTGGAGGATGGGGGCTCTCCTCCCCCCCCCCAAGCCCCCCCCCCAAGGCCCCTGCCCCAAAGGAAGGCCTCCTCCACCAGAGCTGGAGCAGGAACACTAGATGACCCCTCCACCCCTTCCTGGGACAGGAACCCCCCCCCCCCATGAAAACGGTCAACAAGCAATGAGCAGGTGGAGGATGGGGGCTCTCCTCCCCCCCAAGCCCCCCCCCCCCCAAGGCCCCTGCCCCAAAGGAAGGCCTCCTCCACCAGAGCTGGAGCAGGAACACTAGATGTCCCTTCCTGGGACAGGACCCCCCCCCCCCATGAAAGTGGTCAACAAGCGATGAGCAGGTGGAGGATGGGGGCTCTCCTTCCCCCCCCAAGCCCCCCCCCCAAGGCCCCTGCCCCAAAGGAAGGCCTCCTCCACCAGAGCTGGAGCAGGAACACTAGATGACCCCTCCACCCCTTCCTGGGACAGGAACCCCCCCCCCCCATGAAAGTGGTCAACAAGCGATGAGCAGGTGGAGGATGGGGGCTCTCCTTCCCCCCCAAGCCCCCCCCCCCAAGGCCCCTGCCCCAAAGGAAGGCCTCCTCCACCAGAGCTGGAGCAGGAACACTAGATGTCCCTTCCTGGGACAGGACCCCCCCCCCCATGAAAGTGGTCTACAAGCGATGAGCAGGGCGGGGGGGGGGCGGGAGGGCTCCACTAACCCCCCCAGTCCCCCCCCCAAGGCCCCTGCCCCAAAGGAAGGCCTCCTCCACCAGAGCTGGAGCAGGAACACTAGATGACCCCTCCACCCCTTCCTGGGACAACCCCCCCCCCCCATGAAAGTGGTCAACAAGCGATGAGCAGGTGGAGGATGGGGGCTCTCCTTCCCCCCCAAGCCCCCCCCCCCCAAGGCCCCTGCCCCAAAGGAAGGCCTCCTCCACCAGAGCTGGAGCAGGAACACTAGATGTCCCTTCCTGGGACAGGACCCCCCCCCCCCATGAAAGTGGTCTACAAGCGATGAGCAGGGGGGGGGGGCGGGAGGGCTCCACTAACCCCCCCAGTCCCCCCCCCAAGGCCCCTGCCCCAAAGGAAGGCCTCCTCCACCAGAGCTGGAGCAGGAACACTAGATGACCCCTCCACCCCTTCCTGGGACAGGACCCCCCCCCCCCATGAAAACGGTCAACAAGCAATGAGCAGGTGGAGGATGGGGGCTCTCCTCCCCCCCAAGCCCCCCCCCAAGGCCCCTGCCCCAAAGGAAGGCCTCCTCCACCAGAGCTGGAGCAGGAACACTAGATGTCCCTTCCTGGGACAGGACCCCCCCCCCCATGAAAGTGGTCTACAAGCGATGAGCAGGGCGGGGGGGGGGCGGGAGGGCTCCACTAACCCCCCCAGTCCCCCCCCCAAGGCCCCTGCCCCAAAGGAAGGCCTCCTCCACCAGAGCTGGAGCAGGAACACTAGATGACCCCTCCACCCCTTCCTGGGACAGGAACCCCCCCCCCCATGAAAACGGTCAACAAGCAATGAGCAGGTGGAGGATGGGGGCTCTCCTCCCCCCCAAAGCCCCCCCCCCCAAGGCCCCTGCCCCAAAGGAAGGCCTCCTCCACCAGAGCTGGAGCAGGAACACTAGATGTCCCTTCCTGGGACAGGCCCCCCCCCCCATGAAAGTGGTCTACAAGCGATGAGCAGGGCGGGGGGGGGGCGGGAGGGCTCCACTAACCCCCCCAGTCCCCCCCCCAAGGCCCCTGCCCCAAAGGAAGGCCTCCTCCACCAGAGCTGGAGCAGGAACACTAGATGACCCCTCCACCCCTTCCTGGGACAGGAACCCCCCCCCCCCATGAAAGTGGTCAACAAGCAATGAGCAGGTGGAGGATGGGGGCTCTCCTCCCCCCCCCCCCCCCCCCCCAAGGCCCCTGCCCCAAAGGAAGGCCTCCTCCACCAGAGCTGGAGCAGGAACACTAGATGACCCCTCCACCCCTTCCTGGGACAGGAACCCCCCCCCCCATGAAAGTGGTCAACAAGCGATGAGCAGGTGGAGGATGGGGGCTCTCCTTCCCCCCAAGCCCCCCCCCCCCAAGGCCCCTACCCCAAAGGAAGGCCTCCTCCACCAGAGCTGGAGCAGGAACACTAGATGTCCCTTCCTGGGACAGGACCCCCCCCCCCCCATGAAAGTGGTCAACAAGCGATGAGCAGGTGGAGGATGGGGGCTCTCCTTCCCCCCAAGCCCCCCCCCCCAAGGCCCCTACCCCAAAGGAAGGCCTCCTCCACCAGAGCTGGAGCAGGAACACTAGATGTCCCTTCCTGGGACAGGACCCCCCCCCCCCCATGAAAGTGGTCAACAAGCGATGAGCAGGTGGAGGATGGGGGCTCTCCTTCCCCCCAAGCCCCCCCCCCCCAAGGCCCCTACCCCAAAGGAAGGCCTCCTCCACCAGAGCTGGAGCAGGAACACTAGATGTCCCTTCCTGGGACAGGACCCCCCCCCCCCATGAAAGTGGTCAACAAGCAATGAGCAGGTGGAGGATGGGGGCTCTCCTCCCCCCCAAGCCCCCCCCCCCAAGGCCCCTGCCCCAAAGGAAGGCCTCCTCCACCAGAGCTGGAGCAGGAACACTAGATGTCCCTTCCTGGGACAGGACCCCCCCCCCCATGAAAGTGGTCAACAAGCAATGAGCAGGTGGAGGATGGGGGCTCTCTTCCCCCCCCCCCCCCCAAGCCCTCCCTCCCCCAATGCCCCTGCGCCAAAGAAAGGCCTCCTCCACCAGAGCTGGAGCAGGAACACAAGGGCAGGGCCTGGGCAAGGAGATCATCCCTCCACCCCTTCCTGGGACAGGAACCCCCCCCCCCATGAAAGTGGTCAACAAGCGATGAGCAGGTGGAGGATGGGGGCTCTCCTTCCCCCCCAAGCCCCCCCCCCCAAGGCCCCTACCCCAAAGGAAGGCCTCCTCCACCAGAGCTGGAGCAGGAACACTAGATGTCCCTTCCTGGGACAGGACCCCCCCCCATGAAAGTGGTCAACAAGCGATGAGCAGGTGGAGGATGGGGGCTCTCTTCTCCCCCCCCCCCCCCCAAGCCCTCCCTCCCCCAATGCCCCTGCGCCAAAGAAAGGCCTCCTCCACCAGAGCTGGAGCAGGAACACAAGGGCAGGGCCTGGGCAAGGAGATCATCCCTCCACCCCTTCCTGGGACAGGACACCCCCCCACCCAGCACCACCAACCCTGCTGTGAGGTTCTTCAAGCAGACAAGAGTTCTCCCCCCCCCCCCCTTTGGCCCAGCATAGCCTCCACCCACGTCCTTCAGTGAGTGCCCCCACTCCAGGCCTTTTCTGGGACAGGACCCCCCCCCCTTATCAAAGTGGTCTACAAGCGGTGAGCAGGCAGAGGTGGGGGGCTCTCTTCCCCCCCAAGCCCCCCCCCCAAGGCCCCTGCCCCAAAGAAAGGCTTCCTCCACCAGAGCTGGAGCAGGAACACTAGGGCAGGGCCTGGGCAGGGAGATCATCCCTCCACCTCTTCCTGGCCCCTCCCCATCCTTCTTCACCGCTCCTTCTGCAAGTGGCCTATGGAGGCTTCTGGGTAGGTGGGTGGGCAAGCGTCCAGAGCAGGCCTGGGCCAACTTGGGCCCTCCCTCCAGGTCTTTTGGACTCCAGCTCTCACCATTCCTATCAGCCAGTAGGAATAGGAAAAATATCGCTTCAAAATGGAGCCGGTCCGCCAACATGCGGATACGGGGACCCGAGGGGTTTCCATATCTGCGGTTTGGCGGAGCGCAGATTCGGCCTCCCCGGGACACCGGTAAGGCGTCCCAGGCAGGCCTGCAGTTTCCCGCGTCATAGGTGACCAGAAAGACCTGGAGCTGCTTTCTTGAGTGGAGGGGTGATCTTCTCTACTCAAGCAGGTGACAGGCCCTCTCTTTGGGGGGGGGGCAAAGGAAGAGCCCCCCCTTGGCCCAGCATAGCACCCACCGACGTCCTTCAGTGAGTGCCCCCACTCCATCCCTTTCCTGGGACAAGAACCCCCCCCCCCAACCCTGCCATGAGGTTGTGCAGCCAGCAGAGAGGGGCCCCTCCCTGTCCTTCTTGACCACTCCTTCTGCAAGTGGCCTCCAGAGCTTCTGGGTGGGTGGGCAAGCGTCCAGAGCAGGCCTGGGCCAACTTGGGCCCTCCCTCCAGGTCTTTTGGACTCCAGCTCTCACCATTCCTATCAGCTGGTGGGGAAGAAAGACTTCCTCCACCAAAGCTGACCATCAGTCATAGGAGGCCAGAAAAACCATAGAGGAGGGTCTGGAGGTGCCTTCATGAGCAGGGAGACGATCTTCTCCACTCAAGCAGGTGACAGGCCGCCTTTTTGGGGGGCAAAGGAAGACACCCCCCTTGGCTCAGTGTAGCCCGCACACCTGTCCTTCAGTGAGTGCCCCCACTCCATCCCTTTCCTAGGACAAGACCCCCCCCCCAACCTTGCCATGAGGTTCTGCTGTCAGTAGCTTTATTTATTGATTGATGATCTTTACAGCCCGCCTTTCTCAACCATACAGCAACTCAAGGTGGGGAGAGGGTCCTCCCCCTTCTTTGCCTCTCCTTCTGCAAATGGCAGAGACAGCCTCGCAGGGCTGGACTGAAGGCTTCTGGGTGGGTGGGCAAGCTTCTAGAGCAGGCATAGGCCAATTTTGGCCCTCTCTCCAGATGTTTTGGCCTTCAACTCTCACAACTCCTAACAGCCGGTAGGAGTGGGAATTGGATTCCAAAACACCTGGAGGGCAGAAGTCTGCCCATGCCTGGATCTCTGCCTATAGAGTGTTAGGAATTGTGGGAGTTGGAGTCCAAAACACCTGGAGAGCCCAAGTTGGCTCATGGCTGGAGTCTCCTTCCTCTCCCTCCAAAAACACAATGTGCGCAGAGCAGCCCCCCGCCCCCACTGTTGCATTACCCCACCCACTGAAAACGAAGCTGGTTGCCCCATGAGGGAGGGCTTGACCTCTTGACCCTTTGACCCATTCTTCTCCCACCACACCCCCGATCCCTAGGTATGCCAGCCTGTACTTCTGCTGCGCCATCGAGGGCCAGGACAACGAGCTCATCACCCTGGAGTTGATCCACCGCTATGTGGAGCTGCTGGACAAGTACTTTGGCAGCGTGAGTAACATTGGTTGGGGTCAGTGGGGGGGGGGAGAGTGTGGTCCTGAGGAGGAGAGCTTTCTTTGACCTCCCCTGACCCCAGGGGGTAAGGCCGCTCTGAGTCCCCTTTGGGAGAGGTCAAGTGGGGTACAAATACATAATAATAATAATAATAATAATAATAATAATAATAATAATAATAATAATAATAATAATAATAATACAATTGGATGCCCCTGACATGATTAATAATAATAATAATAATAATAAGAAGAAGAAGAAGTCTCCATGTTGGGGGATTAGGGGGGGGGAAGAGTGGTCCTGAGGAGGAGAGCCTCCTTTGACCTCCCCTGACCCCAGGGGGTAAGGCCGCTCTGAGTCCCCTTTGGGAGAGGTCAAGTGGGGTACAAATACATAATAATAATAATAATAATAATAATAATAATAATAATAATAGTATTAATACAATTGTCTGGATGCCCCTGACACTATTAATAATAATAATAATAATAATAATAATAATAATAATAATAATAATAATTGTGTTAATACAAATGTCTGGATGCCCCTGACACGATAAATAATAATAATAATAATAATAATAATAATAATAATAATAATAATAATAATTGTATTAATACAATTGTCTGGATGCCCCAGACACAATAAATAATAATAAAAATAATAATAATAATTGTGTTAATACAAATGTCTGGATGCCCCAGACACAGGCATAATAATAATAATAATAATAATAATAATAATAATAGTATTAATACAATTGTCTGGATGCCCCTGACACTATTAATAATAATAATAATAATAATAATAATAATAATAATAATAATAATAATAATGTGCCTCCATGTTGGAGGATTGGGGCCTAAAGAAGAGTTGGGGGGGGGGGGTCCCAGCCCTTTCCCTTTCCCTTCTCAGGGAGCCTGGCTGGGAAGGAGAAATGGCCGTCTGCCCAGGACTGAGTGGGGGGGGGGGGTTAAGCAGGGGGCTAAACTTGGCCTTAACCCCAGACTAACCCTTGCATTAATCCTGACTCCGTCACCCCACTTTTCCTTCCATTCTCCTTCTCCTTCTGGGGGTCCTTCCCACTTCCCTCCTGCATGTCAATCAGGCCAATGGCAGCCACTCATTGGCCATAAGGAGGACCTGGCAGCCCTGGGGGGGGGGGGGGAGAAAGGGGAGGGGTCTTCCTTCAACCTGGCTGCCCCTTGACCCCTTTCTTCCTCCTTGCACCCCCCTTTTCTGTATTCAGGTGTGTGAGCTGGACATCATCTTCAACTTTGAGAAGGCCTACTTCATCCTGGACGAGTTCCTGATGGGGGGAGAGGTCCAGGACACCTCCAAGAAGAGCGTCCTCAAGGCCATTGAGCAAGCCGACCTCTTGCAGGAGGTAGAGGTGGGGGCCTCGCATGGGGGAGGGGGGGGGGGGGGGGGGGAGGACTGCAAGAGGAGCGTTGCCTGCTGGGAGCCCTCCTCCCCCCATAGAAAACACAACCACACAGAGGGAGGGAGCGTGAGTCGGCTTGGCTCTGGCGCATCCAGTGAGTCACCAGCCTCGCTCCTCTTCCTCCCGTTCTGCGCAGTCAGTCAGTCAGTCAGTCCGTGGGCGACTCTGGCACACGCAGCGCCCGTGTGACAGCCTCTGTGGGGGTGGGACACGGGGGGGGGGAGAGAGAGAGAAGAGCCCGCCAGCAGCAGATGTGTGGATCCTGCTCTTCCCTCTGCCGCATCTCCCCCCCCCCCCCCAGCACACACAAACAAACACGCAGCAGCCTCACTCCCTTGCCTTTGCCAGAAAGGGGCCACAGTGCCCCCCCCCCCAATGTTCCTCTCCATTGCACAGTTCATGTGCCGCCCACCTTTCCTATCCCCTTGCTGTCTCTTCCTGGAAGGATTTGAGTCGCAAACAAACACAAGGCAGGCTTGCTGTGAGCTTTTCAGTCTCTTGACGTTTCGCCTGCATCTGTGGCTGATGGCATCTTCAGAAGTTCTGTTGGTAGTGAGGCAAGTGGAGCGCACCTGTCTATCTCTGGAATGATGTTCCGGGTGGGAGAAAGTGCCCTTGTCTGTTTGAAGAAAATGTGAATCTTCATTTATGTATTTATTTCAGGCATTTCTATCCCATCCTTCTCACCCCCAGGCGGGGGACGCAGGGAGGCTCACGACCGATAACCATGAGATGCCAAACAAACAATCTTGCAATGAGTACCCAGTAGCCTTGCAGCTACATAGTCAATCAGTGACATTATCTGCTTAGCAGTAGCCTGGCCATTGTTGCCTGGAGACATCCTCAGGCATTTCTATCCCGTCCTTCTCACCCCCCGAGTGGGGGACTCAGGGAGGCTCATGACCGATAACCATGAGATGCCAAAGAAACAATCTTGTGATTAGTTCCCAGTAGCCTTGCAGCTACATAGTCAATCAGTGACATTATCTGCATAGAGGTAGCCTGGCCGTTGTTGCCTGGAGACATCCTCAGGCATTTCTATCCCATCCTTCTCACCCCCCGAGTGGGGGACTCAGGGAGGCAAACTACCGATAACCATGAGGTGCCAAACAAGCAATCTTGCAATGAGTACCCAGTAGCCTTGCAGCTACATAGTCAATTGGTGACATTATCTGCATAGAGGTAGCCTGGCCGTTGTTGCCTGGAGGCATCCTCAGGCATTTCTATCCCATCCTTCTCACCCCCCGGGCGGGGGACTCAGGGAGGCTCACGACCGATAACCATGAGGTGCCAAACAAACAATCTTGCAATGAGTACCCAGTAGCCTTGCAGCTACATAGTCAATCAATGACATTATCTGCATAGAGGTAGCCTGGCCGTTGTTGCCTGGAGGCATCCTCAGGAATTTCTATCCCGTTTCACCTGCATCCGTGGTTGGCATCCTCAGAGGATTGTTCAGAGGTCTAACGGAATGAGACAAGGGGAGTGTATGTATACCTGTGGAATAATGTCCAGGGTGGGAGGAAGAGCCTGGCCGTTGTTGCCTGGAGGCATCCTCGGGCATTTCTATCCCGTTTCACATGTATCTGTGGCTGGCATCCTCAGAGGATTGTTCAGAGGTCTAACAGAATGAGGCAAGGGGAGTGTATGTATACATGTGGAATAATGTCCCGGGTGGGAGGAAGAGCCTGGCCGTTGTTGCCTGGAGGCATCCTCAGGCATTTCTATCCCGTTTCACCTGCATCTGTGGCTGGCACCCTCAGAGGATTGTTCAGAGGTCTAACAGAATGAAGCAAGGGGAGTGTGTGCATACCTGTGGAATAATGTCCAGGGTGGGAGGAAGAGCCTGGCCATTGTTGCTTGGAGGCATCCTCTGTTTGGGAGGCGTTCATGGGCAACAGTTAGCAAACACCAGAATCAAGATAGTAAATAAGGAACACCACTCAGAAACAGAGGAACTCCATGCAGCAAGCAATCAAGTGCCGGTTAACACCTCTCAACAGAGGGTGCTCCCAGGCAACAACAGCCAGGCTCTTCCTCCCACCCTGGACATTATTCCACAGGTATACATACACTCCATATACTCCACTTGCCTCATTCCGTTAGACCTGTGAACAATCCTCTGAGGATGCCAACCACAGATGCAGGTGAAACGTCAGGAGAGAATGCTACTGAAACATGACCAGACAGCCCAGAAAACTCACAGCAGCCCAGTGATCCTGGCCATCAAGGCCTTCAGCAACACAAACACAAGGCCTTTGTCAGGAGGGGGCCACAGCTGTGCCCCTTCCCCATTGCTCATTGCCAAGAGCCTTCCTGGGCATGTGCAGAGCGTTTTAGGGTGCTAAGCTGTCGCAAAGGAAGGGGATTATATATCCCCCTCCCATTCTGTCTCTCTTCTTCCCTCCCCCCTTTTTTTCTGCAGGAGGATGAGTCCCCCCGAAGCGTCCTGGAGGAGATGGGGCTGGCGTAGCGCATCAACACTGGTGGATCTGGACCTCCCCCTGGGGAGGCGGGGAGGGGGCTGGGGTCTTGCAGGGGTCTCAATTCACTTCCTCCCGCCTCCATTCTGTCCTTCACTCCAGCAGCATGGGGAGGGGTCTCCTGGGCTGCCTTCAAACCCTTGGCTCCTGATTCCAGGAAGAGAGGAGGAAATGAGGGGGGGGGGCACCGTTCTCTTCCTCATTGGAATGGGAGGGGCTGCATTTGGGGAGAGTGCCCCCTCCTCAGCTTGGCAGCCCCCTCCCACCTGCTCTGCCTGGATCTGCCATTCTTGGACTTTTTGGGGGGTGGGTGCTGGGGGGGGGGAGTCATGTCTCTCTCTGACCCCCAGAACCTGGATTTGAGAGGGAATAAACCATGTGCGGAAGCCGTGGCGTCACTCTGCCTCTTTTGTGTGTCTCTGTGTCTTCTTCTCTTCGTCTCTGTGGCTCGAAAGAAGGACGTGTGAGAAAGGTCTTGGGGTCTTCGTGGGGAGGAAGGGGAACATGAGCCAGGAATGTGATGTGGTGGCAAAAAAAGCCAATGGGATTTTGGCCTGCATCAAGAGGAGCCTAGTGTCTAGATCTAGGGAAGTCATGCTCCCCCTCTATTCTGCTTTGGTTAGACCACACCTGGAATATTGTGTCCAATTCTGGGCACCACAATTCAAGAGAGATATTGACAAGCTGGAATGTGTCCAGAGGAAGGCGACTAAAATAATCAAGGGTCTGGACAACAAGCCCTATGAGGAGCGGCTTAAGGAGCTGGGCATGTTTAGCCTGAAGAAGAGAAGGCTGAGAAGAGACATGATGATGGCCATGGATAAATATGTGAGAGGAAGTCATAGGGAGGAGGGAGCAAGCTTGTTTTCTGCTTCCCTGGAGACTAGGGTCTGGAGAACAAGCCCTATGAGGAGCGGCTTAAGAGCTGGGCATGTTTAGCCTGAAGAAGAGAAGGCTGAGAGGAAACATCATACCCATGTATAAATATGTGATGGGAAGTCCTAGGGAGGAGAGAGCAGGCTTCCTTTCTGCTTCCTTGGAGACTAGGACGCAATGGAGGAATGGCTTCAAACTACAGGAGAAAGGATTCCATCTGAACATGAGGAAGAACTTCCTGACTGTGAGAGCCGTTCAGCAGTGGAACTCTCTGCCCCGGAGAGTGGTGGAGGCTCCTTCTTTGGAAGCTTTGAAACAGAGGCTGGATGGCCATCTGTCGGGGGTGATTTGAATGCAATATTCCTGCTTCTTGGCAGAATGGGGTTGGACTGGATGATGGCCCAGGAGGTCTCTTCCAACTCTTTGATTCTATGACTCTTTGTGCTTCCTTCGCATGAGGGCATGGTTTGCGGGGGGGGGGGGTTGTTTTGAGGGGGGAGCATACAATTTTTCTGGCCGACCCCTTGAGGAGTCACCTGGCAGGAGGGCTTGGTCTTTCTATGTAGAAGGGCTGGGCTGGATGACCTTTGGGTGCCCCTTCCAACTCTTATCCTGCTTTGGGAAGTGGATCTAATGGCCTACCATCCCACCCAGAACTGGCTGGACTGGACTGGACTGGAGTGCCCAGTAGCGTGCCACCAGCACAGCCAAGCAGGAAATGCTGGGAGCTGTAGCGCAACCAGGGGCGGCTCAACCCATACGCATAGTAAGCCTTTGCAGTAGATTTTGCCCAGGGGCGATCTTGAGGGAAAGTAGACCTTGACATATGTGAGTTGTAGTTAGAATCAAAGAGTTGGAAGAGACCTCATGGGCCATCCAGTCCAACCCCATTCTGCCAAGAAGCAGGAATA